CTGCCCGCTCGACCCCGTGGGGTGGTTGTATCCGAGCGTTCGGTGAGGAAAAGGGCTGGATCACAGCATGTTTGGCACTCGGAAACTGGCTTGGTTGTGCTGCAAGGCATCTCCCAGAGGGCTCAACCAGGGACAAGACCCTTGTGCACTGCTGGAGGCTGTCAGGATTTTGAGGAGAATATTTTACTGGTGGAAAACTCCAAGATGGAAACCATCTGGGCGTTTCATCTTGGCCGGGTAGCAAGTGATTCAACATGGTTGGAAGGGAGTGTTCCAGATGGCTTGGCTGTGTGGGAAACCTCTGAATTTTGAGATTTCATTGAGTTTTAGGAAGAAAATTTTAAATCTCAGAATTTTCCATGGACTAGAAGCTATATATACACAGATAGTGACCTCTGTGTGTCTTTTTTTCCCTAAAAGCGCCCTGGATTGTTATCATGGTAAAGGCTGGGGTCTGTTGTGAACCACTGTTGTCATGGGTATTAATGCGTTTTTCCTGCTCATGGCTGATTCTGCATCCAGTGGATGCACTTGGCATGGCCAAGGGGAAAAAGTTGGATGAGGATGGGCAAAACAGGAGGTACTTCCCTGAGCTGGGTTGGCTGTGCTCTTCCCAGTCTGTGCAGAAAACTTCCTCTGCCAGGAGAAAAACCTCGAACACAGCTGCAGTGTGGTGCAGCTCATGGCTAAAATCCACTCGAGCTCAGGCAGTGTCTTGCACTGGTCTTCTGGTCAATAGTGCCCTCCTAGCCCACCAGTCCAGCCCTCTCAGCTTGGGCCAGACATTGAGCAATACAGCTCTTCCCACTCACTACATCATGATCAGAAGCTTTTTTTATGGGTTTTTTAGGCAAACCTTTACCCCATGGCTCTGGCAGGACCACGCACTCGGTGCAGCTGGTGCCTGCCCTCCCCATCTGAGAGGTGGATGCACAAGGAAGTGCTGAGATAAAGACTTAATGAACTTCAAGTGATGCTTTATTGTCTCACAAGCACAAATGATCCAAGCAGATAGAAAGCAGCCAGAGCCCAACTCCTATAAGCAACCCCCTCCGAGATTTTCACGGGGAAGCATGGAGATTTCAATCCTTGTCTGGTCCGCAGCGGTCTTCGTTGTGGCTGATGTGATGGGCGTCGTTGGTAATCTTGGACAATACAGTGGTGAACTCCTCGAAAGACAGATCGTGGTCCTTATTTACATCTGTCTCTCTGAAGAGGTTCTGCAGGTAGCCTGGACGGTACCTTTCCTACAGTGGGGGGACAGGACATGTGTCAGCGTGCCCCCCTCCCTAGGCTGCACAGCCACAGGTGGAAACTGAGCCAGCTTTATTCTTGCATACCCTGGGAAGGGTTTGGAAGCTACAGGACTGTTGTGACCCTATTTTACCTTGCAGTTGGCCCCTAGTTAAAACCCCAGATGAGGAGGCTCTTGTCCCAAGTCCCCTTGACTGCTCAGCAGCCCTGCGGTGGTGGGAGGGATGAGTGCAGGTGTCCACACAGCGCATGGACAAGCTGATTCTGATAGCAGAAACCCACTCCGTGAGCCACAGCCCTTGGTGGGGACTGTACCCCATTCCCCCGGGAGCATCCCTGGAGCCAACCTCAGCCTCATCCCACCCACCACCCCCCTGAGGAGACCATCACCCTGGGGAGTACAACAGAGGTCCTGTAAGCACTCACGCAAGCCTTCAGGAAGTTTGGTGCCTGCTCTTTCAGCAGCGTGTTGAAGTCGTTGAAGTTCAGTGAATCAGGCTTGCCCTCCCGGATGCTGTAACGGTGGTAGACATCCACAATGGTTTTCAGGGCCTTCTCCATTGTGCAGTTTCCAGGGAAACCACAAGCAGGCTTGGGAAGGGTGGTTCCAGCCTGGGTGCTTGCAGACATGGCTGAGCTTTTGAAGTACCTGCCGAAAGTGTTTGGAGAAACCTCAAGACCATTAGGTGTATCAAAAGTCAGGCACCCTGTGCCATGCTCTTGGCCCCCATCCCAGACACCCCAAGGGAGGCTTGCATTGCATTCTCCCCAGCCTAGCAGAAGATCTGCAGCAGGAGCCACATCTTGCCAGGGCTGAGGAGCAAGCCAGCAGCACTGAGTGTGCCCAGGGGCAGTCAGTGGCTCCTTAGGGCTGAGCGGGTAATAAGTAGTTTTAGGAAAATCATCGTTTTACAGCATCACCCAACCGCCTCTAATTTTAGCTTCACCCAAGAAGTGGCTTGTTCTTACGGACCTGGAGGCATTTGCCAGGCAAGTTAGACAAACCCTTGAGGCTGCGGCTGTGTATCTGTACTGTGCCACGGACAGCAAGGATGAGTGAGGACGGGAGCACAGTTCAGGTACGGGCTTCTCTGCAGCTTCCTCTTCCTCTTTCTGTGAATCTCCCTTGCCTCTTTGGGCTGCAAACCCTTTTTACCACAGTCACTGAGCACAGAGACCCTGCTTTCTGCTGGATGCCATCATGCCGGTGACAACCCCAAAGGGCTCCCTCCTTGCCAGTGGAAACAATTACACCCAGACTACAGATGACACAGAAATACGATGAATTTATACTTGTATTATTGTAGCCAAAACCAGCCTCCTACCCTGTCCCAAGCAGAAAGCATTACCCTGGAACAAAACAGCCACAGCATGAAGTGCCATATTCAAAATTCTTTCTCCCTCATCTTATTTCCAGTAAGAACCGTTGCAGTGTCACTTACCCTCGTCTCCAAGGAAGGTTTTCGAAGGATCGGTCTGTTGTAGTGATCCAAGAGCCTGGATGGCCCTTTTATACATGTCTGAGGTCCTCTTTCATCAGCGACGGTGACACACCTGCTGCAAGCAACAACTTGAGTTTCCCGTACCTGGAAATTGCAAGGTGGGAACTTCTGAACCCCTCCCGGTGTCATACCTCTACACATAGTTCCTGGTTGCACCCACCAAGCTTTGGAAATGCTGTCCTTCCACCCCACCGTGACCGCTGATGGGGATGAGCTGCTCACACACTGGGCTAAGAATGGCAAAAACGCTGTGTGTACCATCACACCTCAACGTGAGTGTGAAGGGCAAGTCCACCTTGGCAGGACTTGCCAAAATTCCGCAAGTTTTGCAGTGGGCTGAAAATTTTGCATGCTCTCATGCCGGTGTAGAAGAAAGATGGGCTGTTTCAGAGAGACATGAATGACTCATGTCCCTCAGTGGTTTTCAATGTGATCTCTATGTTTTCTACAACATTCACTGGTTGAACACTAGCAAAGATGAAGGCAACATCCACCTCTTAATGAATTCTTTTCCAGAGTATTTTCCATTGCTTTCTATTTTCACATCACTTGTACAAGACCTTTTCTCTTGCTCCAGAAACCTTGTGGAGGCATAAAACAAGAAGAAAATCTGAGGTCGGGGTCTTTGCTGACTGGAGCATTAACTAGCAAGTGTTTTGCAACAGTCACCTCTGTGCCACTTCTCTTGCGTTAGCAGAACGGGTACCAGAAGAATGAAGAGACTAGAAGATGTAGTAAAAATCAGACAATAGATTCCAGGAAGAGGGTAGGAACAAAAAATAAAAGGGTAAACTTTCCTGTTTGAGGACGCTTCTTGCACGTCCCAGGAGCAGTATCAAGAACTGTTGCCTGAGCTGTATTCTGGTACCCCTGACTCACTTTGTTGCTTTTTTGTTTTCCTGCTCTACTCCTTAGAGACGGGTGACAATCCGAAATTCCATCCTCGTTCCTCAGCTGGCCTTGCACAGCATCAGCAGAGGCTGGCTTTTGACCCGTGTGCTTGTGTAGTCCTCACACAGACAGACCCGTGGGCTCTGAATTCCAGACTTTCCCAGCCACCCTCCCCAAAACCTGCGGGGGAGGCAGCCCAGCCCTGCAAGGGGAGCGATACCCAAGTGACAACCTGGCAGGGACGTGAAGAAGATCTGTCTCTGAGGGACAAGGGCTGCTCCACCACATCAAAATTGTGGAGCCAGAGAGTGATCTTGTGTTATCGACTGCGAGTAACCACGTGATAGCCCCATGCTTCCTTTCATGGCTCGGTTTCACACGGGACGGACCTCTAGTTTCAACTGACATTGGAAATGTTGAATGCTCCTGAGGGTCTGCCCCTCAGTGCACCGTCACCAGCAGATGCAGGAGCTCTTTTCCACTCATGTATCCAGTCCCCAGGAGCCCACAATGGCTTGTAAATGTGCTGTGACCTGGGGGGCTGTTGGCCCACTCTAACAAAAACATCTGCCTTTATGGTGCAGAGTTAACACCAGCTTCCCCAGAGGCCCCCAGCCTCGTTCTTTGCTGTCTCGGGGTTTGCAAGATAAGCTCTGGTTGCTTTGCAGATTGCAAACGCATTTTCACGCACCTCCAGGGTGCTGCACCCCAGCTCCAGAGCTGGGTCTCGGTAGCCACCTGGGGAAGCAGCCCGCAGCTGGGCTTCACCCCTGATACGTCTTGGAGCTGGTGCAAAGAGGGGCCAGGAGAACCGGGGCTGAGGATGCTCTTATGCAGCCACCAGCCTCCCCTACCTGGGAACCCCACGAGTGTGAAGGGGTACTACGCACCCCACCGTCTGCTGAGGTGAAGGGTGCTGGGGCCAACCACCCCGTGCAGGGAACCCACCGAGCCTCGGCAAGGCACCAGGGAGGGTGCCAGGGTCTGATGTGCTTCAGAACGGGGAGCCCACACAGCCTGTGCTGCTCAGTTGGGACCCAAGAGCACTGCTGGCCCGGCTCCCCGCTCTGCTGGGAGCAGGGTCCCCCCACGCCGCCTTCCCTTTCCCACTGCTTCTCTGGTGCAACCTGCATTGAACCCCCCCAGCCATCGGCTGAGTGCATAACGCATCGTCCCTGGACACATAACACAGATGCATTTTGTGCTTCAAGAAAGAAATTTTATTTCAATGCCATGGGCAGAAACAGATGACAGAGCTTTGGATACGGGTTTGTCTGTGCTTGTGGACAACAGGAAGGGATGATGCTGCTGGAGGAGTACAATCCCATGGGCACAGTCACCCTACCAACCACTTCAGTTGCCGTGATCGTGACCATGGTCTTGGCCATGGTCATGGCTCGTGTGACCCTGGTGGGACCTCTTGTGGGCTTCAATGACTATGAGACTCAGGGTGGTCAGGAACTCGGTGAACTTCAGGCGACCGTCACGGTTGTGGTCTGCTTTGGTGAAGAGCTTTCTTATGTAGTCATCAACAGTTGTTTTAGGCTGCAGCAGGACAAACATGAAAGAGTCAGCCTGAAGAACAGTGGGGTTCAGGGTCACCCTGTCAGCCCACAGCTGTGGCATGAGGCTCACCCAGCAAGGACTGCACAGTTTCAGGAAAACCCTAGAAAAATCCTCCCTCCCCCTTGGGAGGCTCTCAGGCACCCCCATGCCCCGAGGAGGTCACCACTCCTGCAAGCTCTCGCCAGTGTTAGGAGAGCTTGGCCATGCTTGGCTCTTACCGGCAGCGTGTTGTGGAGGAAGGGCTGGGCGGTCTCCTTCAGCAGGTCCGAGAACTCGGTCTTGCTCAGGTAGTCATCTATGGGTTTCTTCATGGCATACTGATGGTAGACGTTGACGATGCACTCCAAGGCGAGTTCCAGGTCGGTTTTCATCTTTCTAGGAAGAGACAGACAGCAAAACATTAAACCCCATCAGAGGACTCCCCTGTCCTCCGGGAGCCCCAGCCAGCCTCTGGCTGCCCAGCAAGGTTGGGTTCACTCATCCTAGTGGCAATTTCAGCAGCATGGAGCCTGAAGCCACCATTCGGCAAGGACCTACTTACCTATGAGCAGTTCTGGGGCTGACTTCTGCAGACAGTGGTGCACGGGAGGAGAGGAGCGGGCAGGAGCAGTGAAGGCACGGTGGAGGTGAGGTCTCTTTTATACTCTCCCTTAGCTACGATTTGTGACACCCTAAAATTTCCTTCAGGGCAATAACCCCAGGAATTGTGCAAGGCTACGCAGCACGCCCAGGCGGCAATTTCTTCCTTGGCTCCAGGAACTGGCTGCTCCCACTGTTAACGAGGGAGGGGACGCACAAAACTCGTTAGGGCAAAACAAGGTAACACCAAAAGAGACATTTGCAGGAAGCCAGCATCATAGCTCAGTGACGGTGCAGGGACTTTCCCAGGAGCCAGGACATTCCTGCAGAGTTTGGGGGTCTTTGCAGACATGATGGAAGAGGAACTTTTCCAGATCACACGGAAGGTGCTGGGTGAGCATCCTCAGTGGGGTGAAGCTGTTTTTTCCCAACGGATGGTGCGGTTCATCACTCCTGTATCTGCCCTGATGCTGTTGAATTTGGCTGGAGGTGTGGTGTCCGTGCCCAGAACACTGCTGCACGGGTGCTGGGGGATGGCCCATGCATCCCACCCGTCAGTCACCTCTCCAAAATCACAAGCAGCATTCCTCCTGAATCATTTCTTAACAGCTAGCCAGGGAGCCAAGAAAGATGTTATAAATCCGGGTGCACCAGCGTGCTGGAAACCTGCCAGCCAGTCTTGGGAGGTGGCACTTCCCGGTAGCCATAACTGCTGCCTGATGATAACCAAGGGTATTAGTAATCACTGCCTGTTCCTGGTGTTGGGGGGATGCTGCTCTTTGTGGGAGACCCCATGGTGCTCCAAGTGCCTGGCACTGGCTGCTAAACCCTGCGTGTCTTGGGGCAAAGACAGTCTGGGGGGGCTGGCGAGGAGTCTGTGCCTGAGGATGCCCAAGTGCTTCACCCCAAGTTTGTGCTTGGTGGGACTGGCACAGCAAAAAGCCCATGCTAGCCGTCGAGGCTTCTGGGAGATGGGAAGGACAGCGGTGGTGAAACTTCTCCCCACCAGCCTCCTAATCCAGGAGAATGAGGAACCGGTGTCAGGAAAAGCTAAAATTGCGTAAGAGTGAAACCAAGGGGCGGGTTGTGTGATGGCGGGAGACAGGCGTGTTCTCTCCGGGAAGGGGAGTCACGCAGGGCTGATCAGCGGGACACGGATGTTCCACCGGCGAGACGTGATGGGACACGCGTGGGGAGGTGTGAAGGGATGTGCCTGTACCATGTGGGGAGGTGGGAGGAGATGCGCATGCGCCGTGGGTCCTCATATGCTGCCGTTTGCTGCCCAGTCTGCCACGGAAGCCGTGTACCCGCACGCCGGGAGGTCAGGGCACGTACCCTGCCACGCCGTGGCAGCCCACGCTCCGGTGAAAGAGCCGCTGTGAGCTGTTGGCATCGGCCCCATGACCAAACGCAGCCACGGGGCTGGGAGTACTGGTGCTGCAGCGACTGAGCCAGTACAGCCCCGAGGGCACGGTGGCAGGGCGGTGACAGGGGTGTGGATGGGTGCAGGCAGGCTGGGATGCCTGCGAGTGGCATCACACCAGCTTCAAGTAGTCATGGATCAGGCACAAAAAGGGCAAAGGGCGTGCAGGGAGGTCCCTTTCACCTGCCTCTGGGAGGGCTACGAGGATGATGAGGGGCCTGGAGCATCTCTTCTGCGAGGAGAGGCTGAGGGAGCTGGGCTTGTTCAGCCTGGAGAAGAGAAGGCTGAGAGGGGACCTTCGAAATGCCTCTAAATATCTGCACGGAGCCCTGGCCCAGGCTGCCCAGGGAGGCTGTGGAGTCTCCTTCTCTGGAGATATTCCAGCCCCGCCTGGCCCGCGGTGCTGTGCCCCCTGCTCTGGGTGACCCTGCTTGGGCAGGGGTTTGGGCTGGGTGACCCCCAGAGGGCCCTGCCAACCCCGACCATGCTGGGATTCTGTGATTTGCATTCTTGGGTGTTTCACTGATAGACATTTTCTTTTGTCCCCCCTAATATTGATGCTCAGGTGAGCACTGGATCTCAGAAGCTGGGGTTCATGGAACAACTCCTATGCCCTGCGTTTGGGGTGGAGGGGGATGAGCTTCAACCCCAGTCTCCTGGCAAACCAGCCCTTGCAAACCTGAGGGTGCGGTGCCTGGGTGGGAGTCATAGAATCACAGAATCATGGGTTGGAAAAGACCTCTAAGATCATCAAGTTCAACCATTGTCGGAGTCTCGGGCAGAAGGATGGGCAGAGCATTGCCAGCACCCAACAGGAGCTGTCTGCAGGGACACCAGCACTGGGTGCAGCCCCTCACCAGCTCCCTTCCACCCACCCCCGGCAAGAGAATAAACAGTGCCATGCATGAGGTTTTCATTTATTTAAGGTTCAAAAATGACCAGAAACACAGCAACAAAACTCTAGAATGTGAAACTTCGAAAAAAACTTCACGGCAGGCCCCCAGGACCCCTCACCCCACCGGCTGGCCCAGCTCCGCGTTTTGCATTCCTCCAACGCATCGCCGCAGGTCACGGCCCTGGCCCCCAGGAAGCTGACGCACTCCTAGAAATTCACTTCCTCGTCTTGGTTATGGCTCCGGTCCAGTCCACGCCATGGCTGTGGGCAGCGCGGGGATGGAGGGGATCTCGGGGAGCGACCAGGAGCTGGTGCAGCCTTGGAGCAGGGAGTGAGAGCACCCAGGGCATCACTCCATCTCCATCCCGGGGGATGCTCTCCAACCCTCCTGCTTGCCCTGGTGCCAGCAGGGCAGGAGGGAGCAAAGCTCCTCCAGACCCAGCTCAGCACAGCCCCCAGGGTCTGTCTCTGAGCGGGCAGGGGGCTGCTCCGCATCCCACCATCATGTCACCCTGGGGCATTACAGAATCACAGAATGGTTGGGGTTGGCAGGGCCCTCTGGGGGTCACCCAGTCCAACCCCCTGCCCAAGCAGGGTCACCCAGAGCAGGC